AGCGCTGCTGCCGCGGATGCTGTCGCTGAGCCTGTCGCTTGCGGCTGGGGCGCATTTGAGGGTGGCGTGCAACGACGCTGGTGGCCGTGTCCTGTCGACGGCGGAGGAGTACGCAGCGGCTGGTTTTGGCGACGCTGGGAGCATCGACGTTGTTGGGTGCGACGCGTGCGACAGGGACACGCACTGCTACGCGCCCGGGACGGCGGCGGCGAGCATGAGGAACGGTGTGTGCGTTTGCCTGTGCGGCAGCGGCGGGTACGGCGAGACGTGCGTGCCTGTGGGTGCTCCCGCGCTGCCGCCCGCTGTGGGCACTGCGTCGAGTGTGTTCTTCCGCGAGAGCGTGACGGTGCGGTCGTTGTTTGTTGTGCCTGCCGGCGCGAGCGAGGTGACGCTGCGCCACGTTGTGCTGGACGGCGTGAGTCCGGTGCTCTACGTGCCGTGGATGGCGCGGGATGGCGTGCGGATTGTCGTGCAGAACGTGTCGCTGCAGAACGGTGCCGTGCTGTACGTGATGGGCGGTGGAGCGTTGCGCGGTGCGGGAGCGGCGGGGAGCGACGAGAGCGGGCCGGTGGAGCTGTCCGTGTGCTATGTGGAGGCGCTGAACGGTGCGCTTGTGCTGACCGGCACGTTCCCCGCGGGGTCCGTGCTGACGGTGACGGACTCCCTGCTGGTTGCCGCGAGGTCGACGCCGCTTGTGTATCTTCCCGGCTCGCAGTCCTCGCCGTACGCACCGGTGCTGGTGCTGTCGGGCCTGCGGCTCGTGCGGTCCGTGCTGGTTGTGTCTGGCGTTGCCCTCGTGACCGTGATGACTGGTGGGCGGACGGTGGTGGTGGACGGCGCCGTGCTGGAGCTCGTCGGTGGCGGTGTCGCGCTGGACGCGGCTGTGCTCGGTGGCGAATATGCGTTGTACGCGAGTGCGCGCGTGGTTGCGTCGGGGGGCGCTGTGCTGCGCGTGTCGGGGAGCCAGGTGTACGCCGCGCATGGGTTTGTGTTTGACAGCGGGGTGGAGGCCAACGCGTCCGCCGTCGTAGTGAACGACAACGCCGGTGCGCTGACCGATGGCGCGCTGCTGGAGCTGCGGGGGTCGGCGTCGTTTGCGTCCGGGTCGTGGCTGTCGGTGCGCGGCAACAGCATCAGCGGCAGGCTTCTGTCGGTGCCGTCGTACCCGCGCCGTGCGGACCTTGCGCAGAGCACGCTGACGCTTCACGGGAACGCCGGCAGTGGGCCCGTCGTGATGGACGGCACCGTTGCGCTCGGGGGCGCCGGCCGAAGGTTCGTCGTGGGGTGCCTGACGCTCAACGGGCAGGCGCTGCAGCCGATGGACTACAGGTCCGCCGGCATCATCGGGGAATTTCGCCCCGTGGCGTGTGGCGTGTGCGACGCCGACGTGAGCTGCTTTGCTGCTGCGACGAGGGCGATGTCGGGGTCGTGCCGCTGCCGCTGTGCTGAGGGCGGGTACGGGCGTGACTGCCTGCCGGTGTACCTGCCGCGCGTGGACGGGTGCAACCGCACGCCTGGCATGCCGCTGCTGAGCCACACGGCGACGCTGACGGAGACGCGCAGTCTGACAACAACGTGGACGGCGACGCCGAGACCAACACCGGGCCTGAGCGCGGCGCACTACAGTCCGACGCAGTACGGGCCGACGGAGACCCTGCAGGTGACGGAGACGGTGGCGCTGTCGCCCACGCGGACCCCGACGGCGTCGCTGAGCAGCACGCTGTGGTGGAGCGACGTGGCGTGCCCGACGCTTGCCGTGACGACGACGGCGGCTGGTGGGAGTCTGACGCAGAACGACATCCGCGGCGGTGGGAGCGCCGTCCCGACACTGCTGATGGTGTCGCTGCCGCCGCCGTTTCGTTGGGCACGCGATCCGCAGCTC